CCCTGTCCCACATCAGGCAGTAGCTGGAAGGAACGATTTGAAGAGCAGGTTTCTGGCAAGGTCTGCCTCTCTTCCTCCCTACAGAACACTTTCCAGGGCGGCACAAGTGTTTGGCATGTGAGGACCTGCAGGGAGATTGTGCTGAATGGGTGAATGAATACTTAGTTTACTTTCTTTTTAGTTTTTTATACTGATGAAACAGCTTCAGTTACAAAAGTCCCAAAGGAATGTTTTTCTGTTTGATGAAATCAGCTGTGGAGAGCATCCTAACCTGGGGACCCTGGCTCACAGCATGTTCTTTCTCTGAGAAGCGAGCGTCTCCTGGCCAGCAGCGTCCACGAGGGAGACCCTGCCCCTCCGTCCCACCGCAGGCTCAGCCTCTGCCCCAGTCCCTGCCGCGTAGCTGTCTTTTTCTGACTTGACCTTTCCTTTTCTAATAAATTCATAGAGTGATTTCTTTTGCTGGAGACTTTTCTATACCTTCTCAGCTCCCAAGTCAATGAAACTAGACATTTAAAAAAGCATTTTCTGGGCTATAGGTTTAGCTCAGTGGCACAAGCACCTGCCTGGGCAGCATGAAGTTGTGAGCTCGATCCCTGATATCATAAACAAATAAGCAAGCATTTTTTGCAAATCTTGCAATGACACTGCTGTATTTATGTTCTGATTCTTGCCTTTTTAATAGTCGTGTCTGCATGTGTATGTGTGCATGTGTGTTACTGGAGACTGTGGAACCCAGGGCCTTCACTCTGAAAGAGTCTCATGGAATTGCCCAGATGGGGCTTGAACTTGCCGTCTTCCTGCCTCAGCCTTCCAAAGTGCTGGGATTACAAGTGTATTTCAGCAAGCTTAGGCCCCTTTAGTGTACTTAGTTCAAAAATAAAAATACAAAGTTAAAAGAATTAAGGGCATCTGAAGAGACAGTTTACCAAAAATGCTGTTTGGAAGCTAAACGTAAACTTGATTTAGCCACAGAGTTATTTTTTCATACAAGCTAGCAGAGGAAACTAAATATTTAATTGCTTGAAATCTCTCTCCATATGGCTCCTAGAGAACACAGGAATATTTGTCCCATAAAGGTGACTGGATTTTCCATCATCAAGAGTGGAAAAGAAAATTAAAAACACATCCTCATCTGGAGCCTCTTCTGTTCCTTCAGACTGCGCTCCAGAGCCAAATCATAAAGGTTGGCCTGCACCTCCCAGAGAGATGACAAAGCCAGGGCCACATGGGCCGGGCCTATTCTGGGCAGGGGTTGGGGGGCCAGCATTGGCCAGTTCAAGGACCCCGGCCCTGTGCAGGGCACCTCGGAGTGAGCACCCACCCTGCTGCCACACACACAAGGCAGGCACAGCTTCCCTCTCATTTTCCTTTCCTTTTGACTGTGTAGCAACTGCTCCTTTTAGCAGAATGAAAGTTACTGAAAAGAAGAAAAAAATCCCAAATCTGGCATTAGGGTACCCCAGAGCCCTGGAGCCTGGCGCCCAGGCCTGAGGCAGCTTGCAGGTTTGCGCTGTCTGCTGTGTCCCTCGCCTGGAGTCTGCGGCCAGTGGCGCTAACCGCCTGCAACACTCTTCAGAAATCCATCAAAGGTCCTGCTGAAGGATATTTCTAAGGGCCTCACTGTTCTCTTTCACCGACTGAAATACCCTTCCCCAGCACTTGAAAAAAGTTGCTCTGCCTTTTCATCTCTCTGAGTGTAAACATTGTTTTGCGTGAAAAGAGCTGAAAAAGCTCTTGCTTTCCCTTGAAATTTTATTTTTAAATAAGAGAGGGAGAAAATCCTTTTGGGGACTAATACTAATAATACAGGTCAAAGTGTCAGGCGATATACAATTAAATGGAAAACAAAAAAGGACCCCCTCTTTTTCCCACAGCACAATGGCACTGGAATATAAATTACCAATGAAGATGAAATAATACTTCAAAGCCTGCGGACCGGGCAGTGCGGTGTTTACAAAGTATTTTCCATGGCACGATGAGACATTAAAGATGATGGTAGCCCAGGGACCCCAGGGGGTTGCTGAATAGACCTGAACTAGCATGCGGTAGGATTTTAGGTCCCTATCGCCTGTGACCCCGTGATATGCTTTGTTTCACAAGGGCAGCTGCAGTTATCAACAGATGTTTCAGCAATAAATAATTGGTATCATCGTGGAAAAGACCCGTCTACCTGGGGTGAGGGCATAATACCCAAAACACTGCCCAGCTATTACAGCCACATTAATCTCCCATCTCCCCGGCTCCCTCAGGGAGCAGCCTGCAGGTGTTTTTTCTGGGAGACCGAGGACAAACCCTCTTAAGTCAGCCAGCTTTGTGTGGAGTGTAAAGGAGGTTGGCCCCTGCCATAAATTTCTGTCTGTGGCCACACAGCAAAGGAGAAAGGACTGGGGACGAGGCTGGGGGAGGAGGGTGGGAGAGGGCAGGAGAGGGGAGGGAGTGGCACAGGCAAAGTGGAAACTGGAACAGTTTTCGAGATTAAGTTCAGCCCGGAGAGTAAGTTCCAAATGCCCCTCACGTCACGGCTCAGGGACTGAGGCAAAGACTCGATTTTTCTTAAGTGGTTTTGGCTTTGGTGTGCTACTTGTGGAATTAACTGAACAATGACGTGTGCAAACTCCGTGGTGCTCATTTTAAACATGGACAGGAAACTTTTATGGGAAAGATTCACTCCAAGGTTAAAAAAAAGCACAGAAATAATGAACTGCAAGCAAATGTAAGAACTGAAAAGACAAACTCAGGGGTCTTTAGCTACCTTTTTATGGAAGAATGGACTCTCACATTTCATCCCTTATTAGAACGCGACCATCCAGTTTCAGTGAACCTGCAGACTGAAACTAAATTATACTGGGACAAAAAAAGAAAAAGTCCAGAATTTACTCAGGCTGTGTTTAACAAGTGGGGCTGTTAAAAGCAGGCAGAGCTGGGGAGAAGCACCCGCTGATAGTTCTCTGTATTTACGAAACAGCGTGGGCCACCATTGTGTGCTTGGGGTGGGCACCACGGGAAGGCTCCCAACAGTCCTCAGGGGTACGGCTGCTTAATTTAGAGCTTTCTAGGGCGACTCGGAGTTCAAAAAGCTCTGAGAGTAAACACCCTGCGCACTAGCATAGGCCCAGAGGCCTGATTCTAAGGATGGCTACCAAGTGACCCTGTGGGCAGCCACAGGCTTCTTTCACGGCCTGAGCCCACTGCCCCATGGCTCTGTTGCGGGGTGCACGGGTGGGGAGGGCTCAGTGGCTGTCCACGAGCATTGGCCTCCTGACTCATGCCCACTCACAGATGCCCCAGGCTCCGTTTCCCACTGCGGGTCTCCGAGTCCTCTGCCATGGTTTCTGACTCTCCCCTTGCCCTCGGTCCAGCCTCTGCTCCTGCCTTGCCCTCCGGGAGCAGCTGACAGGCCCTAAGAATCTGAACTTCCACCAAGACCGCAAGTGTTGCCGCTGCTGACACTGTTGCAGGAAAGTCTCAACGCAGGGGCCGGTGCTTCAGAGAGGCCCTGCTCCATACAGGGTGAAACCCTGGTCAGAGACAGCTCTTCACTTCAAATGAACCAAAATCAAGAAAACTGCACGCTCAGTGTTTCTGTCATGTGCGCCACGTTTCCAGGACTCCCAGTGGCACAGGAGCTCTGCTGACGGCAGATGGAGAGGCCGAGTCAGCACTGCTGTCTCTGTGCCTGTTCCCAGGGCAAAGGTGTCCTCTGCACTCTAATCTCCTCGTGTGTAAAAGGAGGGTGACAATGGCAATCATCACACAGGGCTGCTGGATACTCAAACGACATAATGCAAATGCACACATTTTGTAAACTCAATATGCAAAATATAATTATTTCATTCTGTTTCTCCTGTTCTGTTTTTCTTTGGGTTTTTACTGTCAGTTTTTTGTTTTATTTTTTTCTTTAGACAGGATCAGATTGAGACCGTGAGCCCACAATCCCCTTGCCTCAGCCTCTAAGTGCTGGATTATAAGCGTGCACCATTACACTCTATTCCTCAACTAATACCCACCACTCTAAGACCTCTGCTACACACTGCATTCTTTCCAAGTACTCACTTTTGCCTTTTGCTGTAATCCCCAGGCGGTCTTATGTTCATTTTTGGGGGGATAAGAGAGATGGAGGTTTCACTACTGCTATCAAGTGCCTAAGATACTACTGTGTGCCTAGAGGCTAAGGAGTCTTTCCTAGATTTTTGCTTCAACAAAGATAGTGCCTATACAGTTATTTTGGGATGACTCCCAAACACAAGTGCATGTAAACCAATAAAGCAAACATTTAGGTCATTGTTTTCATGCCTCAGCTTCTGACAAACCCATTTTTATGTAAGAAAAATTCACGTAAGCCAGGAGGCTCCCTTGGCATGCTGAGAGAATGTGGGCAGGCAGCATTGTCATCAAAAGGGAAAGGCTCTCCTTGCGACACCCCAGAACCTGAGCCCCCGCCCACCTGGTTCTTCTGCTGGCTGTTCTGGGCTCTCTCCTATGGGGGTGAGCTGTCAGTTAGATTACCCTTTGCTGAGTGAGGAATCAGCCAGCCAAGGGCTTGAACTTGAGGCCTCCTAAACAGCCTGTGAGCTGTTGGGGCAGGAACAGGACCTGGGAAGGGACAGACCAACCCAGGGGTTTAGAGGAGAAGTTGTGTTGGTAAAATGGTGGTGAATTGATTCTTTTAAGACACCCAACTTTTAGAAAATGGAATTTCAAAATGCAAATGTTACCAGGCATGGTGGGGTCAACATGACTTCTGTGGCTCACCAAGGGTATGTTTGTGTTTATGTTGGGTTTATGTTGCACCCACTGAGCACCTCTCTTCACTTTCCTCAGACTTGGGTTTCCAACACCAGATCATATGGGACAGCGATTTCCCATCAGTCTGCGTGGCAATGCTGCCCATGACAGTAGGGGCTGTCTTGTGCTTCAGGGAAATTTAATCTGAGACCATTTAGAGGCTAAGCCCCTCCCCAGGGGTGTCAGGGGACAGGCGGGGTGGCTCTTCCTACCAGCAACTGGTGCAGCGCAGCGCCAATCACATCCTGCAGGTTGGTTTTGTCCTCTGGGCTCAGGGCTTGTTTGTACTGCCACTTTTCAGGCACGAAGGGCCACTTCATTTCCTTTGCCTCCTGGATCAGGGTTCTTAACTCTCTGGAGAGTGAAGCTGCAAAGGTCAGGGTTCAGGTAAGGAAATCTCTGTGGAAGAAAAGGCAGCCGAGCCCCTTGCATTATGATGAACGGCCTCACAGCAAACAGGGCAGCTCCACCTTGGCCTGCTGCCCTAAGCCGCTGGCTGTGACCCAAAGAACAATAGCACGGGGCTATCTGTCAGGGGTGGCCTTGGTCTGCTCTACCCTCCAGGTAAATTGGGGTAGTCAGGCATTGAGAAAGGTTTTTAGCAGGAAGGAAGGTACTTCAGTGACTATCCCTGCATGAAGAATCAGAGGCAGGAATGAAGGAAATATTAGTTTCCCTGTAAAACGAGAAAGGGACGGGAAAGGAATGGCATGTTGGGCTGGTGGCAGCTGGCTCATGTCAACAGTCAATTTGTTCAACCCAGTTTTACTTCTCTAGAGGACTCACCCCATCCTTTCACTGTGGATGGCACTTAGACACAGACAACAAACGCAAAGAAACACAAGTGAGCCGTGCAGGGCACGACTCACCTTACATGGCCTGTTGGAACCGCGGCATCGCTCAGTGAGCACCACACCTACTTAGACCTGGCCGAGGTCTTCCATCCAAACTTCAGAAACCTCCAAGCTTTGGAGACAGGATGGTTTTTCCTATATTTGATACCCAAACCAGATTTGAATTGACAAGGGCTATTAGAGTTCTGATGATGCAACTTAGTGAAATTATCGCAAACGTTTGTAAAAAAATTTTAAGGTTCCCTTTAGACGTTGCCCTATGAAAGCAACACACAGTACACACACCAAGACACCCTCCCCACAAGAGAAGTCTGAATGCTGAGAGTGTTCTGAGCATAGGTGTCGGAATAAGGGGCTACAGCCACGGGTACACAATCACCAGCTCTGGATTTCTGAACATGTCTGTGACTACATTCATCTTTTCTAAGTCTGCTTATATATTTTGATGAATGGAAATAAAATTCACTGCACTGTCTAGGTCTGCAATGCCAGAGCCAGCCTAGATATTTTTTTCCCTCTCTCTTGAATGTATCTGGTTGTCAAATCCTAGGGTTCCTAAGATTCTGTTTCTGGTATGTTTTGCCTGAGTTCTGCTTCCAAACTCACTCCATCTGCTCCATCTTCCATACTGTTGATCTTTTTCCCCTAGAAACAAGGTGGACCTGGCTATTGCCTTGCATCAGACTCTTCTGTGCTTTAGTTCTGCACATCCTGTTCTGAATGATTGTCCTGCACCTGCCCAAAGTCTTGGTGCACCCAGACGCGCCACAGCAGCATCGGGCCCAAATACTGCCACTCCTCTCCATGGCCTCAGGTGCACACTCCTCCCAGCCTGCATCCTACTCTTACATAGTTACATGTTCGGCTCACTGGGCTGGAAATGTCCTGAAGACGAGTACCATGTCTCACGTCTCACTCCTTTTCACCCCCGGTGAAAATCAGTCTTGGTGTCTATATGAGACATGCTAAATAGAGCAAAACAGATATGACAGGGAGAACCAAAACTGAAAGAAGAGAAGGAAGAAGAATCTAACTGTGTCTTGGTCCTCCGCAGCTTTCCGTGGACTAGGCATTGAGGGAAGGCTGTTGCTCCTTGGCACTGAGGGAATAGTTTACGGGCCATGTCAGCTGGTTACTGTGGATGATTTACAGCAGCACACCCCACAGGGAGTTGATCTTGGGAGTCAGGGACGGATGTGGTCATTTTCTGCCAGAGCCACTCAGCTGTCTTCCTGCCACTGACACAATGTCACCTTCCAGTGATGTATCCAGGATACAGAGAAAATTCCTTCCAGGGCATTTCTAAACAGTTCAGGGCAGGATGCCCGCTTGCTTGGGGCATCCTATGTGACCTGGTGCTCTCATCCATGGTGCCCTGTTTCCGCCTCCGAAGCGTCCTGCTTTGGTGAATTATCTGGAGACTGACTCTGCATAAACATGAGCAACCACTGGACAACAGAAAAGTGATTTCTGGATTCAGAGAACTGCATCATGCTTTGGATGGAGCAGTTTACTCTTCTCAAGTTTCTTCATGGTAGCAGAGAAGCTTATTCTTCACAACTCACTTTTGCCTCTTTTGCACCACCTACAAGGTCCTGCTAGATCATGACCAGCAGAGTGACATACATGTGAGTCTGGCAAGCCACTCCTGCACTGGGGCATCCAGCTGGTGCAGAAAAGAAGCTTGCAGATGCGGGTGGGGAATGGACTGAATGCGGTGGGGAATGTGTGATTTCATTTCCAAAGGACTGAAAATGAAAAGGTTACAGATAATCATGACTCCCGCCAACATCTGCAAGTGTCTGTAAAAATGTGTGTTCTAGGTACTGAGGATTTAGCTCAGCAGCATAAGTGCTTGGCTAGCAAGCGCAAGGTCATGAGTTCGATCCTTGGTACAAAAAAAGAAGAATGCTTGAAAAATGCGTGTGCCTATAGCTAAGGAGAGACAAAGCCCTTCACAGAGCCTCTCCCTGTGCATAATGAACAGAGGACAAGAAGTCAGTAATCCACAGATGGATCTTATTTTTGTATCAAATGGCAGAATGTTACAAACATGAAGAGAAATATTTAAAACACATAAAAGAGATAGACTAATAGAGCAACAATATTTCAGTGATGCATATATATAGTGTTTCTCTCTCAAAACCAGTTAGAGGAGAAATAAAAGTTATTTTTAACTTTTCAGACTTTGCAACTGAAACATCCTCATCCATGACTGGCTGACACTGTGCATGTCCAGACTCTGAAAGGAGCAGAGCCAGACTCCTCAGTGCTGGTCTCCATGATGCCAGGCTTGTTGGATGAGGAACTTATTTCAGAAAATAGCACGAGGGTGCATGGGTGATGCAGAGGAGAGCCACTGCACCAGGGAGATGACATAGCTACGGCAAGTGTCGAAGTCTATGGAAATTGATGAGGCACAAAATCCCTACTTGGGAAAAAAAGTATGTGCCACCATTGAGAAGTTGCCTCCATTTTTTAATAATTGAAATTTTCAGGCACCGGCCAACTCAGACTCTTTGTTCCTGTTGAACTAAACTGTTTCTTGTAGCCTCATGTTTACTGAAGCCTGAAATTAGAACTGACAGCAATTCACTGCAACAAAGTGAGCTTCCACCCCTGTCTGTCCGCCTGCAACCCAGTCGCATTCATGCCCTAGAAATCTCCCCATCTCTCGGTGGTCATCTGCCAGGAGAAGAAAAATAGGACAGAGATGAGATCGTGTCACCCAGGCAGGGGACAGAGGAGCGGCCTGCCAGCTGACTCCACTGCAAGTCTCCCATCCTCACCTCGGCATCGCTGGTCCTCCCTCTTGTCCTCCTCGGACACATCTGGTGGCGCCACCAAGAGCTGGTCCAGTGCTTGCTCGCACTCTTGCAGGAGCTCAGCAACAGCTTTATGATTATTCATGATGACTGCCCTCCCTTGATGATGAACCAAGGGTCCCTGGGTCCGTGGTGATCAATTACCTAGGAGAAGACATCGATCCTTAATAAAGGAACCTCTTGAAGGCCAAGCTACCTGGTGAACAAAAGAGGGAGAAAGATGATTAACTGAAGCATCATCAATTATCTGTAAGACTCAAGCAGGGAGGGATAATAGGAGGAACACATGAAAATACATCACAGCCTGAGGACGTTATTAGGGGAGGGTGTGAAATGAGTCCAGGGCCTGGTTTCGACAGGCAGGACCTCGTAGGCATCACGTGTAGAAGGGATGGGCTCTGGTGCAGACCCTGTCACCCACAGTGAGGTCGAGAGCCAAATGAAATGAATCCGCCCTGTGATTTATGTACTTTCTGTGTCCTCCTTAGCGCCTCCAGATCCCAACAGCTTTGCACCTTCCACCTTTATGGATGTGCATGGGCAGCATCTGGCTAATAGCACTAACATTCACAGACAGGCTCGTGTGAATGAGAAGTGTACCAACCACTCCCCTAAGCCCCTGGCGGCTCCCCATGCAGAATGCTTCATGACAGTTTGCATGATAGAATTTAGACCCAGAAAGGCTATGACAGATGCCAAATTTAGCCCTTCACTGGTAGGCACATTGCCAAGTAAAACAGAGAAATGATATAACAGAAAGCCTAATTTCCTAGGTCTATCATATGAGTGGACCTACCATACAGATGTATGGGTCGGCTTAGGTTGCTATTTAACATGCAAACTGTTGACATATTGTCTCTCTGCCTCTGTTTCTGCCTGTCTCTGGTATTGGGTAATGAACCCAGGGCCTCAACATTGAGCTACGTCCCCAGACCTTTTAAAATTTTTCTTTTAAGACAGATTCTGGTAAGTTTCCCAGTCTGGGCTTCAGCTTGCAACCCTTTTGCCTCTGCCTTCCAGAGTGCTGGGCTTACAGGTGTGTGCCTCTATGTCTATCTGAGAGGTCTCCTATGTAACTATGAATTCTGGGCAAATTGGGTTGTTGGGCTAAATGGTTTCCAGTGTCCTTTTGTGCTTAAGTCTGTATAAGAAGTGTTTTGTGTTCAAGTTGGTCAATAGCCTGGCTAGCTAGGAAAAGAACTAAGTGCTGTTCAGAATTTTACTTTCCTGTTGCTGCAGCCGGGACTATACGAGAACGTGTTCATCCCTTGCACATGCCGTGAGCAAAGAAGATGGACAAGCAGCACACTAAGGTGCACAAGAGGCCACTGAACAGTGGTAACACATTCTCACCATTCCTTGAGAGAGGGAGAGATTGGTTAAAGAGATTAATACGGAGGTCAAGGAATACAGTTGATGTTGAGAAGGTAAAAATCAACATTGCTTGATGCAAGCTACCTGCAAGTTGGGTGCTCATTTTTCTTCAAGTCCTAAATCAAAGCAAAAAGAACTTCCTGATTGCCTTTTCAAAAGACTTCAAATAGAAAGACGGTACAACATGGACATAACGAAGAGCTAGCATCATCATTTTGTTTTAATAGCACATCCTCCTTTTGTCTGCAGGCCTATAGTAATGTTTTACTGGTGCTACGTTAAGGTAGAAAGTAGTTTTTGTCAAATTTATAGAAGCAAAGAGCAGAAGGGCAAGGACCTAAGGCTCAGAATGTGAGGTGACAGAGATGCTGATCAAAGGATGCCAGTCTTAGATAGGGTGAGTTTAAGAGATCTGATCACAGCATGGTGATGACAGCTAATGACAACAATTTAGTATTCACAGATGAAAATAAGTACCTGAGGTAATATTTTTGCCAATTAATTTGATTTAGCCATTTGGCAACATGTGCTTATATCGGAACATCACCTTGCGCACCATAAATATATGATTGTAATTTGAGAGTAAAAAATAAAATCAGACAAAAAGTAATCTTCCTTATGTGATGTTAAATTTTAACTGCTCTGTTTCTGTAAAGGATTTAAAAAGCCACAGTACATGGTAACAAAAGGACTTAGAAATAGGACGTGAATGCATGTAACAGAGTACAACAGCAACTTCCGCTCTTCAGATGACTACTGGTGAGCGCCCTGAGAGTCAGTTCTGAGGTTCACTCCTCTCTCCTGTGTTTCTTGGCTGGGAAAGAGTATTTACAACAACTGCATAGATGCTTCTGTTTCTTAAATTGTATATTTAGTCTCAGTCTAGATAAAGCAGGTCGTGTTTGCTGAAGAATTTCTAACATTTGTTAAAAATTCCTAGCTCCTCTGAGACCCCTAAGTATAACATCTGTATGTATATTTTTCTTTGTTTTAGAAATACTGGCTTGGATTTTAAGAAGAGCCAGAAGCATTTGTCCTGGGCCTAAAGTGAATGGAACTATGGGCAGCAGAAAGAGCGTGGCAGATTCACACTGGAAATGCCCTCTGCTGTGATGGGATGCAGAGGGGACTGCAACCTGACCTGTTAGGTGCTGACTGCAGTGACTGACGTGGGAGCTGGACCAGAGTGATGGCATCAGTGATGCAGAAGGCTGGACAGCCCCGAGAGCTGTGGAGGAAGCCAAGCCTGGTGCCTCCAGCACGGCTGGTGCTGGGCACATGGAAGATGTGTTAGGAGTGAGTGTCTGATTCTGCTTCAGTAAAGCTCGAGCTGAGACTTAGAGACAGTGCACTGCCGAGTCTTCTAGGGAAAGACACAAATACACCACCTACCTCCTATTTTCTTTTCTAGCTACAGAGATAGTAAGAAAGATAAGTTATATTATCTGCAGAAAGCAGTCACACTTTAACCAAGAAAACATGTCTAAAAAGAGAAGACCAGATTTCCAAGAGAATTCATGTTTAGTGCTCATGATTCCTCAAAACGTGGTGAAAACCCTTTTGATGCTTGTGGAAGTTATAGCATTTTCATTCTTTGCTGTAAAATTCAAGGGAGACAATAAGAAGAAAATGCTGTAACACAAGAAACATTTCAGAATCCAGCCCTGTGTGCAGTCTTGCCCACGTCACTGTCAGGCTGGACACGCTGGAGCCAGGAAACTTCTCTCCCAGGGCAGTCCTGCCAGAAATTGTGATAAACTTCACTTATACAGGAATCATTTTCAGCTTCAGTGCCTGCTCCTCTGGACTGAGGTATGCTGTGAGCAGGTCATTGTTTCTAACCCTGAATAAGTAAAGTCAGATAAAAAAAGTAACTGACAAATTATACTGACAAATTAAATTTTACTTGCTTTGCTTCTGTAAAAAATTTAAGAAGCAACAGTACATGGTAACAAAAAAACCTATCCCCCCCCCACCGCCCGTTATAATCTAATGCAGGTAACAGTGTGCAACAGCTACTTCTTGACCAATTCCACTTCCTATTCTTTAGTTAACTATTTGTGAGTGTCTTGAGATTCACGCTTCTTATTTGTGTTCCTCAGGTAGGGAGGAGTAATTGCAAAATATATAGATGTTTCTCTTTTAAGTGCTTTTGTAACCTATGCTTTATTTTTTTTTCTCTTAGAAATCCAATCTAATTTCCTTAGAAAGGGATTAGGGAACATAGCTGCTGGACGTGGTGGCACATGGTTATAACCCCAGTCCTTTGGAAGGCTGAGGGAGGAGAGGAGGATTACAGGGTTGAACGCAACCTGGGCAACTTAGCAAGATCACATTTCAAAATAAAATATAGGAAAAGGGCTTAGGATGTAGCTCAACAGCACCAAAAAATGCAGATAACTCTAAAATAACATCAGATACCCCCAGATTAGACTCATGCTCTCCAAGGCACACATGTAGGTGGACAGCTGCATGGCTGTGTGTTCACATATTCTGTGCTTGATTTTGACATATTTATTATTCAGTTCTATGGATGAGCTAGAATTTAGCAAAGTAGCTGAGTTATAGTTGACAAATCAGCCAGCATTCAAAAGACATGAATCAGTGAACTTTTCAAACCCCCCATTTCTTTGGACGTTTGTTTTCAGTCTTTTTCACTGGAAAGTAAGTATATCTGTTTGTCAGTATATCAGGGAAAATAAAAGACCCAAAAGGGATTTCCTGGGCTACTGGCTGCTACCTCTACAATAACCTACTAGACAGCTAGTGAGATTCCTGAGGTAGAAGATACAGGAAAGCATAAAGAAGTACATGACACATTCTGGTCAAGGACTTTATAATTTGAGGGTATGTTGTTTCACCATCACTATAACAAAATACCTGACATAATTAACTTATAAGCTCTTGGGACCTGGCCAAGATCCCCAACTGCCTGTATCAGGGGTATGGTGAAAGGATGAAATAAGAAACAGAGACAAATTAAGTAATGCATGATGAGGGTCTGGGAGGTCAAGGCCTCAGGATGGCCAAAGACCCAGATACTCTAACCCAGTCACTATTTATTGGGTGAGTACAGTACAGTGGGTGTATACCATGACAGAGGGGCTTGTGGAAGATCCCAGGTCAGCAGTGGCTGATGAAACTGCAGGCAATGGAATAACTGGGATGGCTCAAGAGGCTGGAGGCCAGGGCTGGGGATTTAGCTCAACACCCTAAGTGCCTACCTGGCAAGCATGGGGTTGTGAGTTCTATTCCCGGTACAAAACAAAACAAGAGGTTGAAGATGATCTTACACTAAGAAGGATCTTGCTCTGGAGTGTTCTTTTTCACCTTAGTAGTCTTAGTTTTGTCTTTGTGGATGGGAGAGCATGGCCCCTCCTGAGAGTCATGGGAAGTCTCAAAAGGGTGATACCATTATCCCAAGCCTCCATTTATTCCTGAGGGAAGTATGCAGAATCAGCCATTGTGATTTGTGGTCTCCAATAATACTCTTTATTAACTTACAAAAAGTTTTCTTTTGGCACTCAGTTTCAGAGGTTTCAGTACATGGTCAACTGGTTCCATCGCTTTGGGCTGTGATAAGGCTACCTGGCATGGAAGGGTGTGGCAGAGCAAAACAGGGCCCCTTGTCAGGAAACAAACAGGACACTGAGGAAGTAGCTGGGGGTTGGATGCTCCCTTTTGAGAGCACACCCTCAAACAACCTAAAGACCCCACTAACTCCATATTCCACACTAGGACACAGAAGGTTTTGGGGGACATTCAATATC